GTATCTGTAGAGCATTCCATCCAAAAGCAGCAGAGCACATGTCCTTCTCGGGCGCACATGGAGCGTTCTCCAGAATCGACCACACGCTGGCCCACAAAGCAAGCCTCGGTGAATTTAAGAAAACTGAAGTTGTACCAAGCATCTTTTCTAACCACAAGGCTATACGGTTAGAAATCAACTACAGGGAAGAAAAACTGCAAAAATTGCAAACACATGGAGGCTAAACAATATGCTACTAGCCACCAATGGATCACAGAAGAAACGAAAGCAGAAATCAAGACCAAATGCAACAGTTAGCCCTGCTCCTTGTTTTGTTTGCTATAACTAACTTACTAACAAAAAAGTATTTTTTTAACATTTAGAAGAAAACCTTTTTATCTGCTAATAGTTATAATCTTCCTTTAAGCAAACCTGTTGTATACAAATCTGATTGTCCTAAAACAGAAATTAGGTGATGAAGATTCTTCTCAATAGAATTCAATAGTTTTTGTTAGGAAGTGAAGAGTGTGGTCAAATGTGATTTAAAAATTGGCATTTACCTGTAGAATGGGTGTCATGTGAAGTTAAGTAGGCCTGGGTTATATTAACAGAGGTATATGTCCAGGAGTCACTCTATGAGGTCTCTACAGTTGCAATGCTCTAATCTTTAAGGAGGCTCTAAAACAACTAGCAACAAATAGAGAAGTGCTCTGGGTCAGAGGCTGACAAACTTTTTCTGTGAAGAACCAGGTAGTAAATGATTCTGGCTTTACGGGCTATCTGGTGTCTGTTGCAACCACTCCCCTCTGTCCTTTTATCAGGAAAACAGCTAGAGACAATCTGTGAACGAATGGTGTGGCTGTGTCCAATAAAATTGTATGTATCAAAAAAGACAAATGAAATGGCAATCGTGTCCCTCCCGTCCAGGCCCCCCGATGCACACAGATGCACGCCAGTCCTCCAGACAGTCTCTCCTGATTTTTCAGGACTCATCTCAGCTGCGTCTGCGTCCATGAAGCAGTTCCCGACCTTCTCCAGCAGACCCGATACCTCCTTCCTCTCCACCTCCCATCACATCTGCTCCCTTACAGTGCTTCTCACACTGTCTGCAACCCTTTGGTCTCCCATATTCCTTCTCAACTAGGCTATGAACCCCTCAAAGGCACAATCCCCAGTGGTTCTCATTTTAAGAGTCACCTCCTGTCACTCACCTCTCCTCAGTAATCAGGAGCATTCCGAGCATGTGGACGAAGGAGAGAGGAGTGTCTAGCACCCTGGGACCCTGTTTCTCTGGGCACTCTTTGCTGTGACCTGGTCCCTGTAAGAAACCTAATTCAGCTGAATGCACCATCGAGTCCCTTGCTGTTGGGTTTGGAGTCGCTTGAAAAGAAAAGTGGAATCTTCTATGTAATGTGCTTTTAAAAACTCTTCCCGGTTGTTAGGCTGGAATCCCCTTTATCCTCCTTTCAGGCTGAATCAGTCAAGAGAGGAGAAACCCGGAGAAGAACCCCCAGCGCCCTCAGTGAGCTTACTCACACCAGCAGAGCCCCAAGTCCAGCCCCCCTCAGCCCGCGCCCAAGCTCACCTCCCCAGGGCTTCCCCCCCGCCTTGCCACGTTGCTCGGCTGTAAATCCACCCTCATTCGCTGTCTGAGCACTTCCGGAACTCTGTCCGTCTTTCCCGTTTTACTCTATGGCCGTGTTGGAGCAATGCAGGTGACAGTCACCATTTTCCACCGGTGGAACCTGGAAATGACCAGCCTGAAGCAGGACAAAGGCGGCCCTCTGGGAAAACAAAGGGAGCAGAGAGCCAGCAGGCAGCGTGTCATCCACCAATGCGAGTCTGCTGTCACTCCGTCGGGCTGTCCCGGGCGGTCACGCTGAGTATCGGCTGGGCGCAGCGACGAAAGAGGTCTACAGCGCGCGCTGGGGCTTCTCCCCGTTGCTGGGCGACCGCCCCAAGTGGCTCAGCTTTCCAGGGGCTTAGTGGGAACTCCTGCTCCATTTAATGATGAGCGTTTACAGCCGACAAAGAATCCGGTGGTGGGGAGACACCACGGCAGCTATTTCCACTGTATTTCACTCCCGATTCATTGTTTGCAGATGTAGACCTGAGGGTTCCAGGGCCGATGGGAAAGAGGGCTGGGGGAGGGCGAGGAAGATTGTTCTAGGTGACTGGCCCTGCTGGAAATCTTGAAGTCAAACTGCTTTGTGAACAAAGTGGTATCTGAATTTTATTCAAGTGAAAACCTGAGCACTGACTGTGATTTTATTTTTATTAAAGTCTAGTTATTCATTTTTTATTTTTTCAATTAAAAAACCGGGGGGGTGTAGTTAGTTGGGTTTCTTTATTTTTATTTTTTATTTTTAATGGAGGCACTGGGGGTTGAACCCAGAACCTTGTGCATGCTAAGCACGCGCTCTGCCACCGAGCTCTCCCCTCCCCCTTGACCGTGATTTTGAATGATCAGTGTTCTCTACTTCAAATGCACTGAAGCAGGGGTTGGTTTGTTTGTTTGCAATAACCTCAGGAACATATGCAAATTGATGTTACATTGTTTGCTCTGAAGACGTGAAGGCTGATGGAGTAATTGGTCTACAAGTGTACAGAGAGCGTTCTGTCGAGGTTACACACCGCTATCTACTGCTATAGTACACAAAGTTAAAATGAAGTTAAGGTGTGTAGGAAATAAGTAGTTTTGATAATAAAAGAGCAAAAAATCCTAAAATTAGCCAACACTGTAAAGACTTTTGGGGGGAGGTAGGAAAAGATAGGAGGGGGGACATAGATTGAAAACTTCCTCACGGTTGTTCACTCATCGTGCAGGGCTTACACTCAGAGCAGAGGTCCTCGCGTGGTGCTCTTGGGAAATTCTGTGTTATGTGCTTCTTTGAAGATGCTGCATGCCCCGCCCCTGGCTATGGAGTCTGACGTGGCTTCTCCATCTGCTTAGAAGGCCCACAATCTAATTTCCCGGTCTGCACCCTGCAGAAGCCAGCGGAAACTAATCAGTGATGGATTGTCCCAGCCACACGCCGCCTTTCCTGGGGAAGATGAGCTGCCCAGGGCCTTGAGGTAGTGAAAACACACACTCCTCTCCTTTTGAGTCCTTACTTCAGAGGATCTGACTCATTCTCTGTAAAGGAATGAGTGTAGCCACAGGACCGCTGGGGTGGGGGTGGGGCCGGGGGCAAGCAGAGCTGTAGCGGGGGGTCATGGTCACCCCACACGGTCACCATCTTCCTCCACTCTCCCCTCACGGAGGGAGTCTGGAGTGGGGTTGCTCTGCTCTAAGATGGGGCAACACGTCTTGGAGGGTTCTAGAAGTGCCCACTGAGCTGGCACACGTGGGGACAACCTCACTGGCACTGCTCCCAGCCAGAAGGCCAAGGAGACACACTCCCTCCTGCCGAGCCCCTGCCCCTGCCCCCAGGAATGGACCAGCCTCCCACCTCTAAAGCCTTGTCGCCACCGCCCTGCCTGGATCCCGGCTAACCTAGTCCCAGGCCAAAGACAGGCCCTGGAGTGATGCTCGGCAGTGAGCTGTGGTGACTGGCGGGCGTGTCTGTGAGGTTCCGTGTGGTCCTCATGTCCTCAATGTGCGCTTGAAGGTGGCAGCGGCCTTCTGAGGGGCCCCATCACTTGGCCTTTATCTTTATGCCTCTGTGCAAGTTGTTCTCGACTCTGAGTGCCGAGTGGTATTACTTAGGGAGTCTTCAGATAATACCTTTGCCTGGCCAGCCCCTCCCTGACCAATTACATCAGATTTCCTCTGAGGCAGAAAGCTGGCAATGGTGCTTCTTAAAAAACTCTCCAGATGATTTTAATGTGCAGCCTCGGTTGAGAACCACTGGATCAATGGTCATAATTCTGGGAGAAGCTAGCCACATGCCAATGTCTCGGCAACTTTTCCTAACATTGAGGAGACCTGTTCTGCGCAGGTGCTATGCCCGGGCTCTGGCAACACAGCAGTGCCTCCAGCTCGGGCACCTTTGCACTTTAATGAGGGACTCAGGCAGATAAAGGATGTTTCCAGACCAGCTGGTTGCGCTCTGAGGCCTGGGACTCTGCGATTTGGAAGAGCAGTGCAAAGTTTCTTGCAAAGTTTGAAGCCTGAGTGCTTTGTGTTATGAGCGGGACCTTGGCAGACAGAGAGGAGGAGACAGGACGTTTCAACAGGAAGGACAGGATGCAGGTGTGAAGCAGCACCATTTGTCAGGGGACTAGAAAGTCAGCTCAGGAGAGCTGGGTCTCTGGGTCTTCTCTGCTCTTCGCTGAGAGCCTTTCCCTGAGCTGGACACCATCAGATGCACAATAAATATTAGTGGAATGAATGAATGAATGCGTGAACATGTAAGAACTGCTTTCTCAAGGGCATGGGCCATGTCCTTGAAAGGCATGGAAGACCGCAGGAGCTGGAAGACCCCAGAAGCCCTGCCATGGATGAAATCTTGCACCAGGTTTACTAGACTCTACCCATAACTCATCCTTTCCATGATTCAAGAATGAGGACCCACATTTAATGAGGACACAAAATCCTCCCCGACCCTCCCAGTCGTAGTAGTACTTAAGTGTCGCTAAGAAAATGCATATAGACTCCAAAAATCACTACAAAATCCATGAGTTTTCAAATGGACTTAATCCGTGATCACAACATTAACATGCACGGAAGATCCTTCTCAACATGAAGGGTCAGGACTGTTCCCTTTCCTTTATTTTTCTGAAGTGAATCATGACCATTTGAGTTCTTTCCAGCAAAGGCCGATAGAAAGTCTTCCTCAGGCAATCGTCTGGCTTAGAAACTGTGAGGACCTCTAGGTCTAGATTCTTCCTGTGCTGGTCCCATCTCCTGGTGGGGTGGGGGGCCCACAGGAATGTCTGTCCCTCAGGGTCATCTTTTACCCTTTCTGCAAATCTTGCCACAGAACCCCAAGATGAGGGTTTTGAGGGCCCATCTCCCCCGGAATTCACACAGCCCCCCCATCCTAGGTTCTGGAAGTTCTAAGGCGTGTCTCTGTTACCTGTGGGGTTGCAAATCCCCAGCCCTTATCCCAGTCTGCGTCGACACCGCCCAGTCCCCCGGCGCTGATTTTTCTGTTTATCTCTTCATTTGCAGAGTCTGTCGCACACTTCAGACTTCAGCACAAGCAGCTTGTCATATTTGGGGCTATTTTCATACGGGTTGATTCTGTCCTTCCAGCTAGATTTTAAATTCGTAATCCACCATGTCCTCGCACCGGGCTAAAACATTGGCTAACTTCCAGGAATGACTCTCTACTGGGCATAAAATCAGTAAGGGAAACAAACCTATAAAATACTTGGAAGTTTGAGTGGGGAGGGCCTTACAGAATCTAGTTCAGCTCCTCATCCTATAGCTGGGAGCACTGAGTTCGGAGAAGCATGAACGTGTGAGACAGTGAACCGTTTATTCATTCAAGAACAAATACACGTTCAATGTCTAATCCAGTGGCTATGATAGGAATATAAAGGTGAATCAGTCATGGACCTTGTTCTCCAGGAATTTAGGGTTTGATGTGTGAAGGAGATAAGATATGAATGAATATTGATGACTCTTCTACGTGATAGGAAGCTGTAAACACCATAAAGGTGCTAGATGGACTACAATCAGGTGCTAAAAATAAATAAAAAGAGTGCACTTTAAATACTGTGAGTGGCCAGGAAGGGAAGAGCTGAGGCCAGGTGGTGATGCAGAGGAAATTTCCAAGCAGATCTGTGTCAAACATCTAGCCAAAGCTGCAAGATGAGGCCAAATAATGCCCTGCTCTCACTTGGTTGAAGTTTGGTGAAGGCTCCCAGACTTGATCTAACACTATGTTTGAGGAGTGTACTGTGTGCTCTGTCATGACTAATAAAGAGACCTGCAGGGAAGCTCACAGAATGAATGGACCAAATTGTCACCTTGGGACCATCCAGCTCAGCCTGACTCTAAACAAGACAGCAGGTTAAAAGAGAGGAAAAGAAACTGTCCTTGCCTCTTTTTTAAGATCTTTTTTCTTTTCTTTCTTTTTCCCCTTTTTCTTCTTTGTTTTTTCTCTGCAGGATGTCTTTGCTTCTTTTAATGCCTTCTCTTCCCACCAAGTAATTACTGTTTTTCAACTGTAAGTTGAGTTTTTCTCTTCTTTTTATGCCTATGAAATTCATACTTGCACAGTATGCCAGGTCAACATAAATAACCTTTCAAAGCACAGCCCAGCTCTCAAGAGATGAAGAGTGCCTGGTATTTGGTGCTTCATAAAGACATGCCTGGATAATCTGAGAGAAGAAAGCCATCGCAGATAAGCAGGGTCAGGTTCATTCATGACTCACACAGTTTTTGTCCTGGGTGCTGTTGGGATGGCAAAAGTAGTCAAAGCCACAGTCCTTGCCTTCAGAGAGATGACTCTCTAAAGGAGAGAGAGTGTCCATGCTTGAAACACACAGAGAAAACTGACATCTACATGCAAGACAATGTGGCTTGCATCTCTGTGTGTGTGTGTGTGTGTGTGTCTGTCTCTCTGTGCCTCTGTCTCTGTCTCTTCTCTCTCTCTCACACACACACACACACACACACACACACACAGTCCTGGGAGCAGGGAGTTTTGTTGCCTGACAGATCCGCCACCTCACCCAACTTCTCATCCATCCTAAAATCATTTCCCCTGCTTCAGAAGGTGAAGGGTAGTGGCTCTTTGAAAGCTGCCCTGCCCCAGGACCCCTCCCCTGCCCCTCCCCTGAGGTCTCCAGTTCTCTGCCATCACTTCTCCATTTTGAGCCTTCAGTCTTGTCTCCTCATTGGCTTCTTCTCCATGTCCTTCAAACACGCCAGT